ACTGTGATAAGTTTTTTTTTCCTCTTTTTTTTTTTTGGTCTTTGTATTTTTTTTCACTCAGAGAACAGTTTAATTTTTGAGAAGACTAACCAAAGATGAATTACCATACGCAGGAAGATGAAGCATTGCGCTTCTTGGAAGAGTAGAACTCTCTCATTTACTGTAACTTTCCAACTTTCCCCACTACCTCGCCCACCCAATCTATCTCCAGGTTTGTCTCTTTCAGTCGGTGCAGCTATTGGGGTATTGCAGCCGTCGCTGTGGAATTGGCTTGGCTCCGCCCCAGTAATAAGCCCAAAAGCTTTGATTGCATGTAGAGTTATACCATAATTATACCATGACTTTTGCATAACTGTTTGAAGAGATGAAAAGATTTGTAACTTCTAGGATTGTTAAAGTGTTGGGAGTAAAACATGAATAAGTTTATACAGTGTATGGAGTATCTTCTTAGCCAAACCTCTTGTTCTTCTGCTGTACCCATAATGCTGCCTTAATTTTGTTTCTGTTCTTTCCCATGGCATATACATCCAAGTTAGAGCAGCATAATCCTCACCCCAGGTGCTGTTTTCAGATCCTTCAAGTTGCAAATGTCATGGGTAGATTTTGATCGGGTGCAACCTGATGGTTTCACCTCATTATTTACATTCTGGAGTTCTTTCAGCCAGGCTGCGGTGTTTGGGCTCCAAGCAAAACGCAGCCCTGAGGGCTGGGCTTGACTATGCCACAGAAGCCTCCCTACAGAGTTATGCCAGGTTGAGTTAAAACTTCTGAATAGTGTGTTTTTGCTAATCTAGCTCATCTTGAATTACGTGTCCTGTAAAACTTCTAATTCAGCTCGATGTTTCCCTAATTTGACGTGTCCCCAATTGAGGATCTCTTCTTCTCCTGTCTTCTCCTCGAGGAAGGGGAGCCAACTGGGCTTTCATCACTATCTTGCTTTCAACTTGCTCTAAAATTGAAGTAAATGCCTCGTCATCCAGTGGAAATGCAAGCGGAAAGCTTGTGAACACTTCTTTTCTTGATATGTCTTGTTAATGTTGACATTTCAAATACCACCTTTGGCACTTGTGTTAACATCTATGAAAATAACACAATTCATCTCTAAACTTTAGTTTCAGGCAAGTTGGGACAGATAGGGTTTTAACTGTACTTTGTTCATACTCCGAAGATTTTTCTTTGCCTTTATAACTGCTTCAAACTAATAATTTTCAGTTTTAACTGAAAGTTGATCCTGGAGAACCGGGAGGTATTTTTTAAGCACTTTTGAGGCATCTGATCCTTACAGCTCTTGGCAACATGGCTTGGGGTCAGCCCTTTTCCTCCCCCTATCTTTCCTCTGTCTTGACCCCTAGAATAAATATTTCACCAGGCTAATGCTGTAAAATAAAAGTTTTATCATCAATAGAGTGGTACAAGACTGAACAACAAAAGATAAGCAGTGATCCAATGTACCCAGAGGTTATGAAGGAATTATGGAGCCTGAAGAAGCAAGTCTCTGGAACGGGGTGAATACATCTGCAGCTTTTCAGTGCTTACTGTGTTAACCTAAGAAGATGTTCAGATGTTTCTTAATCAGGACACAAATCAAATGTTTTCACGAGTGACACTTCTATCTATATTTTTGCTTCTTTACTGCTTTCTTAGCTCTCTCTAATCTCACTAAAGCGGTGTGCTTATGTACTGCACTTTCTCAAACGTGAGCTTGTGGATGATGCCGGTTTCCATTGCAGCCTGATCTGATAACGTCAGAAATGTGAGAAACGGGAGCTGGCAGCTGGGAAACCTGCAGGCAGCACCAACAGCGAAAGTGAAAGGAAGCTGCTGCTGCTTCAGGAAACATTGCGTGGGACCGAGTTACGTTATCAATGGTACAGCAGAAGCTGAAGTTGTGCTGACAGGTTGTTTTTCCAATTCTACCGTCGGCCTGCTGGGGCCTTTGAGGGCACCCCTTCATGGGAAAAGTGCAGCAGATTTGAGTTGATTTCTCTCAGATGACTGCTTTAAGCAAACCTAAGTTTCTTGGATCAGAAAAATCCGAACCGTGCGTTGTACCTTTGGAACGAATTAACGGTGGTGACGGTGGAATGCTGCAAGAAGTCACGCCGAGCTCTCGGGTTGCACTTGAAAAGATTGCTAGGCCATATGTACGGCTGAAAATACGAGGAACTCAATTTGTTGCAGTGAGATTTATGGCGTTTAAGGTTCTTTTGCATTTTTGCTGATGGGCTGAATACCATCAAAGTAGTTATTAATTATTCACTTTTTGGTGAGGTCTGGCTCCCCTTTGCATACACCGCTTTTGTTCTCGGTTTGACTACATTAACTCTAGATGAAACGTAAATGCCAATCCTGAATTAATGATGGTTAACTGTATTGTTCTCTGTAGCTTTATTTCATGAAAAAAATCTCAGAATAGGAGAGCAAATTTGATTATTGCTTCATGTGTAGTCCCCGTCATGCTTTTGTGACTATAAAATCTCAGAGACAGGGTAATTTTGGAAGCTGAGTGCCATAAAAAAGAGTTTACCCCTAAATGGGATATTTTGAAGAGAGTTTCAAAGCTTATCATGATAGGTGGGCATTCATTCAAATGAAAGTGATTGAAGAGTTGACGTTTTTAGCAGGACTGAAAAAGAGGTGGTGATGAGGGTCACCTGACATTCTTTTTTCCTTGTACTTTTTAGAGAAAAGCATCAATATATATTGAAGGAAAAAAAATAATCTAAAACCAAGCCCTACCTTCAAGTAATTAAACGGTCTGTTGCTGTCTGTTGGATATCATTACTTCTCCTGCATTCAGCTTTCACACAGATGGAAATGATCAGGACCGTTTGAGTGGTCCTTGAGCCCAAGCATCTGTGGGACACCCAAGGACAGGGAGGCACTGGTGGCACTGCCAGGGGCATGGCAGGACAGAGCCAGGCTGACAGCTCCTAGGCTGCTGAGAGCCCTCAGAGCCCTCCTTTCCATTTCGCCCCCAGCTTTTGCATTTGGTTTTCTCTGGCTGATGGGTATTTACAGAGCAGCAAGGAAAGGAAAAGCGTTCTTAAATCGCTGAGCTGTGACAGCAACGTGAAGGAAGGTTGCAGAACCTGAAACTGCTTCTGAATAGTGTTTTTTACACTTATAATTAGACTTTAACTTCTGTTCCTTTATATTGTATTATAAAAGGAATAAATAGTTTATTTGTGCTTTGAACTACAGTTTTCCCTGTAAATTACTACTCCAGAGTCGGCCAGAACCATCTTTCTTCTTTCTGTACTGCTGCCTTTCATCTAACTAAGTTAAGCAAGTGTGGTTTTTTCCCTCCTGACAACCATGAAAGTAATTTTTTTCTGTTTTTTTCTTTCCTTTTTTTTTTTTTTTTCTTCCTAGTTATGGTTGCATCCACTTTTATTGCTGCACTTTCTCTAGGGACAGTTTGATGTTTTGAGTTTTCAAAGGTAATATTCTTGCATTATTTGGTTTCCCAATCACATTCCAGAAAGTCACTTTCCTGAAAAGCTGTTATTTTGAGTTATAACACTGTGATGTTCAGTCTGCTAAGCATTGTTTTATCACAGACTGGTTGTTTCTGGATTTGTACACTGACCTAGTTTTACAATATTTTGTATATATGTATGTATGGAGATCGGTTGTAAAAACTGGCATAGGACAGCTCTTTCCTAAAGACTTCGGTTGGGTAACACTTAGCAACCTTGCTGTCAGGTAAATCATTAGGAAAGAGTTTTGGTAGGATGAAGACAGCTCCTGTCCAAAGTGCTTTTTGGGAAAGGGATGGTTCCTCAGTTCTATGATATGATTTGGTCTTGGCCAATCCCTGAGCTTTTTCTCTCTCAGCCCCTGTAGATACAGTCATCCAAGGGCTGAACACAGCCCTGAGAGCAGTTTTCTCCCTGCTGTGCTCTCTCTTTTTCCCTCTTCCCTCCATAGCATGCACTCTTACAGCTCCGTTCATCTCCTTTATCTCCATTTTTTTTCCGCTGCCTACCTGACAGAGGAGGAGGGTTGCAGCCTCTGGCTGGTGTCCACGTTGGTGACAACCCCTGAACTGCAGCTGAGGTGAGAGGGAACCTAGAGCAGAGGGTTTTCAGCTATTTAAGGAGACCTGGAAGCATAAAAGGAGGAAGAGGCTTCACCTGGTGAAGGCGAGGGAAAGATCAAGGGCAAGGGGGTGGAGAAAGTCAAGTTTGGAGCTGATGGAGAGGACAGGGACACAAAGTCCAGCTCCTTTCTTAAAGCAGACCAGCCAGAGCAGGCTGCTGGCTCATGGTTAACCTGTTCGCCAGGGCCCCAGCTCTCCTCCTGCAAAGCTGCTTTCCAGCCAGGCAGCCCCAGCACATACTCACGTGTGAGATGAATCCTCTGCAGGTGCATGACATTGTTGAACTTCAGGAGGTACCGCCAGGTGCACCAGCCACCTTACCCGGTTTGTATCATCTGAAAACTTGCTAAGGGTGCCCCATCATTCAGGTCAGTACTGAAGATGCTGAGCAGTTCTGGGCGTAGTGTTAACCCCTGGGAGGGGCTGGGATCCCCTTGGTGTGTCTGATGACAACCCGATACAAAAGATCAGAGCAAAGGTTTTCTGTGCTACCTTAAGTATTCATTTGTATGCTGACCTAATGCTCCCGGACAATGTGATGAGACACATCCATGAGCATCCTTTTCCTCCTGTCTTCCCAGTCATGTAAGGATTTGGGGTCTAAGAAGTCTCCAGACACCAACTGCAGCGCAAGTCAGGCTATATCAAAATAAAATAATAATAATAAAAAATGTAAAGAACTTATCATGAGCCTTCACACGTGTTTTATTACAGTAATTTTGCAGCCATCTCTTTTCCACCAAACGTGGCACTAGGTCCTACCTGAGCTTTGGTTCTTCCTTACCTCCACGCCGGCACAGCTGCTGCCTTTCAGACATGGGGAGGGAGCTGCTGCTGCTGGAGGACCCCTCCTGGCAGACAAAAACCTCGATTCGCAGCGAGGCTCTGAAGTGATCTCTCCCCCTCGCAAAGGCTTTTGTAGCTTTTTCACTTGACTTTGAGCACTCCTTTCCTCTCCCGATGCTTAGCTTTGACTTTCTTCTCCTTATCTGTCGCTGGAGAGTAATTGTCGCTTTCATGAGGACCTTGCTTTAACCTTGAGCAGCGGTTCCTGTGGCACCTGATGTGCATTATGTACTATATATACTGATGAAAGAGCGAGGTACAGTCCTAATGTCTTCCTTGAAGTTTTCTTTTTCTAATCTGTTTCAAGGACTCCTTTCAGATGGGACCTGAAAGCTTTCCCAATTATTATAAAACTCCTTGTGATTTTTTTTTTTTACTTGAAACGCAGACTTATATTTAGAATAGCAGGGCAAAAAAGCAATCACGGTCTTAACGGGCTGAAGCAGCAACACCCAAGCTGTTATTAGCTGCTGTTAGCTGCCCTTTGGTTCGGGTTTAAATGCCAAAGGGGTGTTTCTTTATTAGGTGCTTACAGAGCCTTTAATTGTGATGGATGTCCACGTACCTTCTGCACTGTGTTTGTTTGTTTATTTTCCCAGTATGGGATATCTTGCAGGAGAGAGGCAGAAGTGTTTGAGAACACTGATGGGGAGGGCTGCAACTGGACTGCGTGCTGGAGAGAGAGGGCTCTCATTTTGGGGCTTGGCTAAGAAGTGTTCAGTCAAAAGAATAAAACTGCAGGGCTGCTCCTCAGCTGCTGCCTTTTTGTGCCTGTGCCAGTGGCAGGAATGAGCTGGCTGCAGCAGGTGGATGCCATCAGAAATGAAGAATCACTCTGTGAGCAGAGGGGATGGTGAGGGCTCCTGGGTTCTCTGCCTTGGCTGGACACGTATGGAAAGAAAGGGACGCAGAAGCTGGGCTTTATTCAGCTTACAGGAGGAAAACTACAACACTGCCAGACATGAATAAAAAAGGAAAAGCAAAGTAAGAGTAGACGGGTATTACATTAAGGGTAACGAGCAATATGCTTTCAGGATTAGGACAGGAACAAGAGCAGACTTGCCAAGATAAGGTAAAATGCTATTTTTGAAAAATGAAGGAAAAACTGCTCTAATGAGGTTTAATAGGAAAAGTATTGACAAGTATTACCAAGAATCAGGAAAAATTACAGCTCGTTACATGGCCAAGCTGCGCACAATGGCTGATGCTCACCAGTCTTTGAAGATGGACTCGGTAATGCTTAGTAATGGGAACAAAAAGAAGCAGAGTGAGGATGCTGGAGGGGACTCGAATGTGTTGTAAGCTGGTTCACCTCTGTGGGGCTTCCTGGAAGACCCTGGCTGCGTTTCTACAGGCATCGTTTGGGCAGATGGGAGCCCCAGCAGTCACATTGAGCAGGTCCATTGCTGTGCTGAGCCCAGACCGAGCCCCCCAAGTGCGAAGCAGGGTGCTTGGCTCTGCCTCAGCACTGCACAAATACAGTTGTTCCTTATTTTTGTAGGGCATGGGCACAGACAACTTTCTTCTGCTCAGATTATAATGCACAGATGCTCCTGTCCGTCTCCCAGAGCCTGCAGGACATATGTAAAGCTTCTGCAAAGGAAGTATGCAAGCAAGGAGAATTTGAGAGCTAGCTCAGAGACATAATGAGAAACAGATTGAAAGATATCCACTGATGCTTGTGCAAAGGCAAGATGCAAAGAAGAAGAGACAAAAAGCAATGAGAAGTTTAATGTTCTGCAAAACTGTAGTAAAAGCAATCACAGCAAAGTCAGCAGACAAGGAAAGCACGTGAAGATGTTAAGCACTGCATGGAGACCCAAGCAGTGACTTGGGCAATGAGGTTTTGCAGGTATGGCTGGCAGCAACACTTCTGCAACTTGCACTCCTCAGGGATGCAGTGATGTGGGGCTACGGAGGATTCCTCAATGTGATGTGGGAGAAAAGAGTAAGCTCGGTGCAACCACACCAAATGAAAAATGAACAATGGTGTTATTGTGGTACAGAAGGGACAAAGTAAATGCTATGCAGGGGTTTTGGAAAAGCAGGCATGCCTGGGCTACAGGTCACACAGAAAGCACAGAACTACTCAATGCAGGTGAAAGCTGAAACCTACTCATTTAAAACTGTGTACAAATTGTTTAGGTAACAGATACACCAACAAACCAAACCCAAATAATTCACGGAATATGGAAAACAGCCTCATGGACTTACTAGTTCCTTTAGGCTGAAAGTTCCCTTAGTCCTCACCCATGGAATACAACAGCTGTATTTGGCTACCAAAAACTTAAATGCAAAGGGAAGGAAGCAGCAGAGAGAAACTGAGATACAGCTTGGAGGGCACAGAGCCAAGGTGGCAGCAGTGAGTGGGGTTTGATGCAAGTCCTCCAGGGAACCCCAGGACTTTGCTGTGAAAGCCGCCTTGAGCCAAGGCCAAAGGCTTCAACAAAGGAGAGACTTCTGCTCCTGATACTTCTTATTTTTTCTTTTATTTTTCCTTGCCAGAAGAAAAAGAGGACTGGTAAGTGATCTAAGATTAAAGGTACAGTGTTGCAATTTGAGGGTATTATGTCAGTTGTGAGAGATCAGCCTATGAATTAGAACAAACTAAGTTCAGAGGCATTACTAGAAAACCCATTAATAGAAAACCCAGAAATAATCCTGATAAACCCATGAACGTTTGCCAAGCAAAAGAAATTCCCCAGTGCGTATGAAAACATAGAGACAGCAGGCAGTGCTGTGAGCATGATAAAAAATTAAAACCATTACAAGCCAGAGACCTGGGGCAGTGTGTCCTGCGGAGCTAAAAGACTGATCCCCAGGGAGCTGCAATGCAAGCCAGGCAGCAGCTCTGTTTGGAGGGGGGGGGGGGGGAAAGAGGTAAAAATGGGTAACAGATGATGCTAGTTTGCAAGCAGGTGTGTGGTGTGAGCCAGGAGAGGAGGGACAGCACGGAGGAATCCTTCATGGGGGGAGGTGATACCGCTGCAGCAGGGGATCATCAGCCTGAAAGGGGAATTGAGCTCCTGTTGAGCTGGATGCTGCGTGTGAGGCAGTGTGAAGCTGGGCATACTGAAAGAGAATCACAGCCAGGGGAAGGTAAACAGACGAAATTCAGGGTTAGAGCTGTACATTTATCCCTGCTGAGGGAAGAAGTGAACTCAGCGTATGTAATGAGTTGGGAATAGCACATAGTTGTTAAGACGTTAAAAGACTGTATCTCGCCCTCCTGAATTGATAGGAAAGCAAAGCGATTGCTGTGTTTGGGAAGAAAGGAGATCGCTCAGCAATGCAGCAAAAAGTATCCAGAGAACCCAATTTTGCTGTGTTTTCCCCAGAGGCTGAAAATGCGGTCAGTGGGCAGACCACAGAAAATCACCCTGCTAATCTGTGAGAAAGGCTTGGTTTTAACTAAACAGACCTTCTGAATGCGTGGGGGAATCAGACAGGTGCTCACCAGAAGATCTTTTCCTCTTAAGCAATTTCTGTAAACTGCAAATTCTCTTCCAGGCTCTTACTCAGTTTGGTGAAGATGACCCTTGATAAAATAGAGTTACACGCTTGTCATCGTCATGTTGGGCACTGCCCAGCACTCCTTGGAGAAGTGATAGTCTACAAGCCACGCAGCCTGACACTGCTGTCCTGCACAGACACCCTCAGCCTGCCTCCACAGGCACTGGGGCCCTCACAGAGGGAGGATGAGAAGAAATAAGTGAGAAAATACACAAATGTCTCCATGGCCAAATCCGAGCTGGGCCCGTGGCCGTCTGTGCTTGCAGTCAGCAAGGCAAACCCTGGCAGCACCTACAGCCTTGCCCCAGTTTGTTTCCAGCTGGGGCTGCAGCTCTGGGAAGGTTGCTTTCATCAAATTCTTTGATATGAGCGGTCTTTGATATGGGGAAAACCTACCAGAAGTACTAAGTGATGGGGGTGGTGGTGGAAGGAATAAACCCTGAGAAGGAGATGAAGGCAGCTCCCTTTGATCTCTGGCTGGATTGCATCTAGGACCTAAGCCAGCCTGCTAGGACTGCCTGCCAGGTATCACTATCTACAACACCCTTAGTTCCCTACGAGTGAATCTTCCATATTTTTTTTTCCTCTTTTTTGCCTGATTTGAGTCATCAATTGGCTATAGATGTAGTGTGCATAGCAGCCAGCCATGTGGATGAACAAGGAGCCCCCTGGCAGGTGATCCACCAGCCAGGGGCCTGGCCACCGCTGGGCCCTGGGCGGGCCTGGGTTTGCGCATGGGCCTTTGCCAGGCCTACCCCGGTCTTCATGTCCCGTGTCCTGAGCCCAGGCTTGTGGCTGGGACGATTCTTGAATGAAAGTGCGTGGTCAATCCCAGAGCTATGTTGCTTTGGTGTTCGGGGAATTTTGCCTCTAGCTGCAGCCAGTGTTCACAAGTCCTGTTAAACCTGAATAACCGCAATCCCTGACTCTGCTTCAAAAGCAGCGGGTGAAGAGGATGGTTCCCAAAGCTTTAGTGAGGTAAATTTGTCTCTTCAGAATACTGCTTATGCAGTGGGATTTTTTGTGTTAAGACAGGGATGGCTGTATGGATTGTATATCCTAGTGTCCACTCAGTGCTCTGTACCTTCACACCTTTCTGCTCTTGTGAGAGTGCATTTACAAATACTGGCTCTTGCAGGGACATTTTGGCATGTGAAGCTTCCTCTCCTTGCTCACTATCAACCAGTGGCTGCCAGGTCACATCTGCACCCAAAGTCAAGTTTGTTTAGCTCAAGTTGTACTTTGAAATCTGTTTAATTACGCTGGTGCAAAACCATTGGTGGATGCTCTTCTCACTGCTTCAACCGAAGTCTGAAATTCATTGATATTCTTTTGGAAATCAGAGTTTGTTCAAGAGTGTCCACATGGGTTTGCGATTGGTTTCAATAAATACAATCAAATCCAGATTTTGCTTAAATCACCACAAATTTTAATGCAAACAGGGCCTGGGTGAGATTGAAAATCCCCTCGGTTCCTCTGCCTTTTCCCTCCCGTGTGACACTCGACCCTTTCCACATATTGCAGCTCGCTGCAAACCAGTCTGCAGGTTCTCCAGTATCCACTCTTTTCCTGAAACAATCAACCTACTTTGAGTTTAGCAGCCTCTCCCCTGCCCCTGACTGGCTCCTGCGCTTCCAATCAGGCACAGAGGAAACATTTAAACACGCAGCCCCTCTGCCTTGCCTCCCTGGCTCTGCTCAGAGCAGGAACCAGCCATGCAACTCAGCCCAGGTAAGGCCACGCTTCACGATCCGCATTGCTGCCATGTTACGTTTAACAGCTTTTTCCCTCGAAGCGCCTTGATTTATTACTCCTATTATTAATATTTTTTTTACCTCCTCGCTGCACAAAGTGGGGAAAGAGTCAAACATGCCCGTGCCCGGGGGGCAGCAGGCACAGGGAGAGCAACCCATGGCCTGTGCTGCTTTGTGAGTGATGCTGGATGTGGCAGCGTGTCCTGAGCACTGGGCTCACCACAGGCTGACAAAACTGTCATTGAAAGCCACGAGGACAGGCAGCTCCTACAAAACCCCCTTCCCTTTGCCTTTTCCACGTACTGTTAAATTACCATGATGGCTGAGTGTAATTTCCTGGCTGTTCCCTGTGCCCATGAATTACCCAACGTGGCAGGCTGGATCCTTAGCTGCAGGACAGTTTTTCCAGTTGTTTGTTTTGAAAGCTCTTAAGAGCAATATACTATCAGCTGAGGTTTCTAATTAACTCTGAATAGCTAGGCTGCTGCCACTCAAGTATAATTCTCATTAGCATCTCAGCTAACAAGCTTCAGTGTTTGCCCTCCTAATTAGCTTCTAGTTATAAGTCTTTCCCTATCCTAAGATGTGCTGTTGTTAATTGCAGTTCCAATTGCTTTTACAGCAAACTCCCTAGAGACTGCTAATACTGCTGTTTTATATAGCCTGATGCAGATCAATATCTAGGATACTTAGGACTGTGGGCTCTTTATTCTCCCGTGTGTCTATATGGTGTGCTCGTGCAAAGAGGAGGGGGCAGAGCCTCAGCTTTTAAAATAAACGAGGAAATATTTTCTCTTTTAGACAGGTGGTGCAATCTCGAAATGAGTCTGCTTAAAGCAAAGTACAACTTCCACAGCTAACGCTGCGTGAATCGCTTTCCGATTCTTCGGTGCAGCTGTCCACACAACTGCTTATTTTCCATGCCCACGGGTTTCTAGGCATTTGCCAGTGCCCCAATGAAGCTGAGTTTAAAAAGCAAGTGTACTTGTCTGTTGCCCAGACAGAGCGTATGTAAGGTTAGCTATTCCTTCTAGCTGCTGGCTTCGGGATGGTATTTCTGTGGAATGCTCTTAGCATGGTTTAATGTATGCCTGTGAGTTGAATTAACCCCTTAGTCCCTGCAGCCAGGGAGCACTTAGAGCACTCGTTAGTGTTAGTGGCTCTGTAGGGAAAGCTGATTTGCTCGCTGGAGCAGGGTATGGTTGTACAAGTTTCCGCCAGAGTGGGTGAAGCATGCAGATGAGGAAAGGTAAGTCTTACAGGTTTCACAAAACACCTGAAGTTGCCAATTTCTTGTCCCACGGAAGTGAATCTGTTCTATACAGACTTTCAAATCACACATTTGCTTCTCAAAGAGGGGAAAACATTTTGCTCAGCTTGTGAAGCTTCACTAGCAGGCTTCTCCTTCAGACGTGTCCAGAGCCCTTCTGTTACTGCTTTTTTTTTCTCAGCTGAAATCCACTTTTTCTCAGGGTTCTGAAACTGGGTCAGGTAATCTGATCACTTGTATTCTCCTGCTCTGGGTAGGATAAGAAAAGGGCAGCACTGAAATCAAATACTGAATTTTAGCACAGGATGCGATAACTGCTTCCTGCTTTTCTTTATCTACATTGACAGGTAAGGTCTTGAAGCGACTGATGCACACTAACTTTGAAGATAAAGATGAGTTGCTGTTTTTTTAGTAGTCTTAAGAGAGCTAACACAATCCTGTGATGCTTCCCAAGCTATGTCTGAAAGGTTTTATGACTCTGGTTCTAGAGGACCTGTGCAGGAGTGTTCGTGCAGCCCAGCAGAGTCCCTTACAGCAACATATAGGTGTGAGGAGCTGCCTGGACAGATCCAACCACAGTATCAGGCTTTTAGAAAGGTGGAAATTCCACTAATGAATGTGCTTTGGTTCGTAACCTATTGAAACATGGCCTGCTCACATTAATAGCAATGGATTTAATTAGCCCTAGGTCTTTCAAATCTGATTGCTTTAGAAAAATGTGCAAGCTCTTAGATGGACATAAGGTAACCGAGCAAGTTGAAAGGGTGGGAGTATGTTCGCATAATGACAAGTGCATGTTTGCATGGTTTTGTTAATTTAAAATTTAATCTTTTGGTCAAAGATTAGTCATTAGGGTTTTTAAGCTGGAAAAAAGTCATCAGAATTTAGAACAGAGCCCTTTATGAAAAGCTGAACTTCTTGGTCTGACTGCCGACATCCAATTAATGTGTTGGAAAATGGAAGCAATGATGGTTAGCAAATCTCAGTGTTTGAATACGTTTCAGTTACAAATCACAGAGGCATATTTAAGTGAACTATTTAACCTCTTTTATCTGCAAAACTCAGTGTGCCATACTTTAACATCGCAAGTTGCAGATGGCAGCCTAAAGTGAAGCACACTCTTATGACAGAACTTTTTAGAATCTTTAAAGTAGAACTTAAGTTTTTGTTTGGAGAGAAGAAACAGTTAAGTGGGTGGATCTGTAGTTTAAGTATTAAACAGATTAAAGAAAGGAATTAATCAAAGGGAGCAGAAAGAAGAATTCAGAACAAAGGGTTCTGATAATAAAACAGAGAAAGATGCAAAGCACCTAAGTGAAAGCTGTTGGATATAAAATCCTTCTCCAGCTGCTCTGCCCTCAAAAAGGTAAAACAGACCGACCCCTTTTTAGATCAAAATTATGCAGGTGCCACCAACGTGTCACTGGGAGTCATCAGACATGAATTTGCATGACCTGCAGTGCAAGAGAAGTATTGACCACTTTGTCCACATGGGGTAATGTATTTTGTGCTTCCTAGAAGGCCCAGACTGAGGGCTTCAGTGCTCTTTATGTCCAGGGTAAAAAGCTCCAAAGAAGACTCCAGCTTGGGCTGTAGCAGCAACTCTTGCCAATTTCAAAATAAAACTAAGTATGCAGGGCTTCTTGTTATCTGTCTTCTTTAACGTGGTTTGCCTTAAGTGTTTTTTGTCATCAAACCAGTTTATATAGTGCTGGGTTATTGCCAAATTTGTCACATAAAGTATTTTTCTTAATGTGACTGTAAGCTAAATTGGTGTCATGATCTTTTTGTTAAGGCAAGCAATAAATTATACCCTGGGATAGATAAATGGTGATAAAGTACCATCTATGCTGACAGTGTAGAAAGAATAATGTTGAAATAACTCATAAATACACTGATTGAGTACGTTCCTCTATAGATTGCGTAGAGTCCTGACTTTCTCCAGTTCGGTGTTTGTGAGACATTTGAATCTGAAAATGGAGAGTATCTCATAGCCCTAATTCTTTTTTTCTGATGAATCTGTGATCCAGGCCATTTCTTACAGCAGAACAGCCTTTCTACATAGAGAGGGCATCCCCTTAATTATTTATACTATACATACCAGGTGTGCTGATTATGAAATTTCCCTTGAGGCTCCAGAAGGAAATGAAATCCTAATAAATGCATGAGATAGTGGAACAATGCTAGAATCTCCTGGATGAAAATCAGTCATCTGTGTCAGTGATTCCCCTTACAGTGTCTTTTTTTTTTTTTTTTTTTAATAATAATAATAAAAAATTACAGAATCTAATCTTCTTAGGCTTGTCATCCAAACTATAACGAAATTGTCAAGAAATTGTCCTTCCAGGGAACTCCAGCACTTTTGTGGGAAACAAAGAAAAAATAAGGTTAGGGGAATACATTTCTTATCTCAGAGATGTGGAGGTGGGTGTGTTGATGGTGGTGGTGAGTGTGCTCATAATTAGCATTATTGCAGAGTGGTGACTGAAACATGGTCCTAAAACCACCTGGAAAATTCTCTGTATCAAAACACAGGCTGACAAAATCAGAGAAAAAAAATCAGACTCTGTTTTGGAAATATGAGCTCCTCTTGTCTTGGCAAATGGAGCAATTTTATTTGGAAGAGAGAACTGTATTTGTTTGAGACGCTTGTTATCAAGAGTGTATTCAGTGAACTCCAAGGGAAGAAGGCCCTTGCCTGCAGACGAAGAGGAGAAATAGCAAGGGCAGTAATGATAGCTTTAGGAGAGGAGGAGACTGAACTTGATGTAAGGGACAACAGTGAAAGTGATGGATCAGAGTGAAACAGCTTGCTTAATAGGAAAAAGCACTTGTTTTAACCCAGAGTAATGTGACTGGACCAGGACAAGCACAATTTTCTTGGCTCCAGCAAATGAAAAAAATCTGCTCAACAAAATTTAAGGTGTGGAATGCTTCTTGCCATTTTGTGGTTAAAAGGAACAGCTAAAACAGTGAGATACTTGCAGAGAACATGAAGCCAGTAAGAAGACATCATATGAGCTCAAGAAGGCGTGTATCTTTCTTCTATGAAAAGGCTTGAGCAGAACTCTCTGAAAAGCTGGTATTGTTACATGGAAGAGCAGAGAGATGTTAGAAGTCAAAAGACATCTTTCAGAAATTGGAGGTCATATTTGAACAGCGGAAATAGAAAAGAGCATACATCCTGTCAAGTTAAAAAGGCAAGTTAAACAAGGCCATAAAATCAATTTTGAGGAACAACTTGCCAAACTCTCAGAAACAATAAGAAACCCCCTTCAAACACATGAAAAGTAGGAAGCCTGTCAATCTGGAGGCTTAATAAGTGATTGCAGAGTAATAAGAACACTCAAAGAACATAGGGTTGTTATGGAAAGGCTAAATAAATCTTTGCTTTGCTGTTCATTATAAAGGATCTTAGAGAGAGTTCTCTTCTGGAGCATTTTGGTAGCTGAAAGAGTCTAAAAACTGTTTTAATTTGAAGTGTCAGCAGAACAGGTTTAGAACAAACTGATAAAATGCATAATGCTATAGATAAAAATAGGTGGTATCCATGGTAGCCACCCAAGAGTCCCAAATGTGGAGTTGTCAAACAGTGTTGTTTGATATGAATTAAATAATTGCTGTGGCAAGTGAAGGTGGCAAATGTGATGTCTAAGTCTAAGGAGCTGTGTACAGTGGTGAATCTAACCTTCCTTGGGCAAGTTTAT